AAATCTTATGCCTGCTCGGATAAGAAACAAGAAGGGAAATGCAAATGTAGCCACTACAGGAGACTCTTCAGCCCCTCTTTCCCAAACTGATTGGGAATCCATTGTAGTAGCAGCAGCAGTGAGAACAGAATTGGAGAGGTTTGGACAGCTTATGAGTAAGAAAGATTCACCTAGCTCTAGCCTTCCAGATGGACAAAAGAATGCTGGAGCCAACTACACCACTTCCTTTGCACATACAGGTAGTTCATATGCAACTGCAAATCTTGCATCCACTTCAGATTAGGAGGGACCTCCCTGGATTATAGACTCAAGAGCATCTGAGCATATGACTAATGCCCCTACCATTTTCAGTTCCTATCAGTTGTGCTCTGGTAGTGACAGAGTCTCTACAGCAGATGGTTCACATATGCCCATTGCTGGGAAGGGGACAGTTAGAGTGACCAATGATATAACTCTATCTTTTGTTTTATATGTCCCTAGACTTCATACCAACCTACTGTCTGTTAGTTCTTTGACAAAATTTGAATTGTTCCATGACCTTCCTTCCTGGTAATTCTGTTTTGCAGGATCTAGAGTCAAAGAAGATGATTGGGAGTGGTCGTGAGGTGAATGGAGTCTACCTTCTAGATGAGATTCCGAGACATTAGGGTCATCATGTTAGAAGCAACAGTAGTAGTGGGTCAGAGTCAGTGAAATAGATTATGCTTTGGCACAATCACTTGGGACATCTTTCTTTTAGTTCTTTGAAATGTCTTTTCCCAAAGTTGTTAATGCCAGAGTGACTTTGAGAAGGACTTGACCACGTATCTCTTAGAACATGGTGTAGTTTATCAGAGCAGTTGTGCATATACACGGCAACAGAATGGAGTTGCTGAGGGAAAAAACAGACACACTGTGGAGGTGGCAAGGAGTCTTATGGTGTGTGCTTCAGTTCCTGTGCAGTTCTGGGGAGATGTGGTTCTTACAGCCGTGCATTTGATTAACCATGTTCCTTCATCGACTTTGGGGTTTAAGGTGCCATTTAGCCTTCTTTTCCAGATGGAGAGAAATTTCATATACCTCTGAGGGTTTTTAGTTGTGTTTCTTTTATTCACATTCTTGGCCCTCATCGCAAGAAATTGGATCCTAAGACCAAGAAATGTGTTTTTCTTTGGTATGCTCAGAACCAAAAGGGGTATTGCTGTTATGGCCCAGTGTCGAGGAGCAGATTTGTCACTATGGATGTTACCTTCTTTGAATCCACATTCTTCTTCTCGAGTGGTTCTCCTCAGGGGGAGAGTTTTGGGGTGGAGAACTCACAATCTGTTCTTCTTCCTGTTTCTGTGGTGCCTCCATCAGTTCAGCCAACATCTACATCAGTTCAGCCAGCACCTGCACCTCCAGTTTCATTACCTAAGCCACTACAGGCAACCTCACAGAAATATCAGTGCCGGCAGATGATGTTTGACTCCACACATCCTCAACCCACACCACTCTCTGTCAGTCCTTTTGAAACTCCTGATTCGGCAGATACAGTTCCAGGTATTCCTCTTGAACCTGAGCCTGTTATGTTTTTTTATGATAATGTTTCTGTCCCTAACACCATTGTTGCAGCTGATCCCATTGACCTTGATCTTCCCAATGCACTTCGTAAGGAGAAGAGAAAGTGTACAACTCACTGCATTTCACACCATCTTTCTTATAGTGCCATCACTCTCCTACCGTGCTTTTCTTTTTTCCTTGGATTCTGTGTCTATACCCATGAATGTTACTGAGGCTCTCTCCAAACCTGAGTGGAAAACAGCCATGCAAGATGAGATGGATGCTTTGATCAAAAACCAAACTTGGGAAATAGTTGATCTCCCCCCAGACATGGAGACAGTTGGATGTAGATGGGTATTCAAAGTGAAGTATAAGGCCGATGACAAGATAGAGAGGTACAAGGCAAGGTTGGTAGCAAAAGGGTATACTCAAACCTATGGTGTTGATTATCTAGAAACATTTGCACCAGTAGCTAAGATGAGTTTAGTTTATATCCTTTTATCTCTAGCAGCTACCTATTCATGGCCCTTGTTCCAACTTGATGTAAAAAATGCTTTCCTTGATGGTGATTTACAGGAGAAGGTATATATGGACATTTCAACAGGCTTTTATGAAAATGTTGGTAAAGGAAAGGTGTGGGGACTGAGAAAATCTCTGTATGGACTGAAACAGTGACCTAGGGGTTGGTTTGATAGGTTCAAAGGGGCACTCATCCGTTTTGGATA